CAGGAATGTGATATAACTCCACAAGGCCATGGCTACTGTTTACTGTCTGTTTCCCCACAAATTATGTAATTCAAAATAGTCAACTCAAAGATAAATGAGGGATTTGACAGACAGTTAAGAAAGTCGAGTATATCAACCTGCCATGTTCAGCAGCACCACCTATATTCCTTGTCTGACTTTATATATCCAAAAAGACTGTGATGCATCATCATGTGCTCTTCTTTTTTACAGAGAACAGAGATTCAGTCTACTCTTCCCATGTGTGCTGTCCAGTCATCCAGTATAAATGTTGATTGTCACTATAGACATAAATACTGTATATTTATACTTATGTACAGTATTTATGTTTTGGTTTAAGCCTCAAGCTGCTGTTTCATCTTCCTCCTGTCTGTTTTCCCCAGACTACGGGGTCTCTGACTGTCTGTCAAACTATGTTGTATATGTTATGCATGTGGATCTCAGGGCCAAAAAAAAAAGACTGTGTCACTGTGGCAACACTACAAATTTTACTACTACTAATTAAGTTACCATGGACTACAGGGCCTGCTTTCTTTCACTGGAAAGCCCTTTATATTTGTCTTTCTGACTTTCTTTTAATCCCTCTGCATGTGAGTGAGCTAGATGTGGACTTGCACTCACATAAAGAAACATCACTTCCAACTGCACCAAACTAATACATTAGAGAATAAGAAATCTCCACTCGCACTACTATTTTTGCCACATCATGCAAACATAAAATAAAACAGCCTGTTCAGAGGCTGCAGCCCATAAATCAAGTGTTTCTGACAGTTTGACCTGTCCTTGGGGTATCTGTGTACAAACAGGTTATGAAGGCTAGGTATCTGCTATACAATATTTGCTAAGATAAGCACTGTGTTGACTGGCTGCAGGCCTGGGATGGTGTAAAAGGTTAGCAAAGTCGTTGAGCTGCAGCCCATGCAGTGTTGCTGCTGCAGCATTCATCTTGGTGAGAGTAATGTGAGTGCTGTGACATTCCCTTGGTTTTAGTGAGGGTACAGAGATGGTCTGTCAGTATGACGCAGATTGGTTGCTAAATGGTGAGGGTGGCTTATAGAATGTGTGGCTCTGCACTCAGTGCCATTAATTTGCATGAAGTAGTTTGTATTCCAAAGTGGTTTGTAAAAAATATGTGTTAGCAAAAGATGTGTGCATGCCAGCTACTGCATGTTAACCATTTACTTGCTTGTATTCAAGAAAGCACTTAAAGCCCCATGCTTCCAACTCATCTATCCCTCTCTCTCCCTCTGTCTCCTCTGCTCACCAGAAACAGATGTCCATGCGACCTACCTCCATTAACCAGAGCTCCTCTGGAGTATAACTCAGCGCTGCTCCAGATCCTACCCAGCCTCCAGACATCAGGCCCAGCCCTCACCATCCTTCTGCCTAGACGTGGGACTTCCAGACCACACTCAGCGGCTGTGACGGCGCGGCGTCGAGCCAAGCCTGGCACTGTCTTCATATAACTCCTGCTGGAGGTGGGAGAGTGCTAGCTGGACTCTGCCCATCCCTCTGCTGTAAGTGGTCATTAAAGTCTCGGCTGACAGCGCTTTCCTCTATGAGTAGCGGTGGAGCTGTCCTGTTCACTGCTCTGGCTAGACCGCAAGGTTCAGTTTAATGGTGTCTGCTGGTTAGTACTGATCTATCTGTCACTGTGTGAGTGTGTTAGCTATCATCATGCTCTGCAGCCGTGCTGTGCAGAGTGTGTCATCTCACTGACCATGCAAATCTTCAGGTTTGTGCAGCTAGGACAAGGAAAAACGTGTGAGGTGATAAAGGAGGAATATAAAGTGGCGTCTCTTCTCAATTTTTAACCTTTTTTTTGTCTTATTTTGACTTTAGTACTGCAGTTCTCCTCAAATGAACCTGATTAATAGACTAGAGCTCAAGAAACAGAAGCAGAATAGAGTGGGCTGACAGGATGATCCTGAGGAAATCTCAGTTAAGGCTCATCTGTCTGATTGCAGTGAAGTGAATGTGGAGTAAATTTTAAATGTTTTCTACAGGAGGCCTATAGATTACTGTGGACATACCTTTGAACAGCACTCATTTCACAGGATACACTCATTGACATTGCATGTGTGGCCCCACAGTTACCTTCATTACATATGCCTGTGCAGATTTATGTGCAGATGTGAGCAGGTAATATATCAGTTTGAGAAGTACAGATCCAAATAGATCTGGCGCCATTTCCTCCAAAGCCCCCAGTTTGTTTGTCTAAAGAGACTAAAATATGCTCCACAGTATCATGCCCCACTATCAGGTGGCATTGTTTTTCCTTCTGCCACGTAATCATCAATATTGATGAGGCATCATTTGATTACCATGGTAGTATTATCCTTAGAGTTAATGGCAGATGTAATTTTATACCCATCAGCTACAACATAATGTTCTATTTCTTTTTCATCCTTCAATTCCACTGAATTGTTCTCGCTCCAGGTATTCCAGCAAATGGTGAATAAATTACTTGGAGACGCCCAGAAGCCTTTATGGTTTTTCATTGTTATTCATTCAGTATGGTTCTGGGTTTTATTTATCTATCTTTAGTTTATGTTGAAAAATCGTGGCAGATAATCTTAGGAGCAGGCACAGGAGAATTAAGCTGCATGGTGCCTTGGTTGGTTTCCCTTCTTTCTACTTTCCATCTGCCCCTTTCTCTCCCTGTCCTTGCCTCCCAGTCCAATCTACCACTTTCATCAGATGGAAGTGATAAGCTTGGGGAGCATATTCAGAGGCATTATGTCAGCTAAGGTCTCTATGTGGCTGCTATATTGCAGTAAGCGGTGTAGTAGTATATATATCACCACATTAATGCAAAACATTCAGCATATTCTGTTTGTGTGTGCAAATGTCTAGTCAACAGTGGTAGAGGTCAACAAAGGACAAAATAGAAGGTTATATAATGGACAAGGAAAGATGCAGGATATTGTACAGCAGGGGGTCCCACAGTATCCCCACTGCAACCCAGTCTCACAGCAAAATGTGTGTAATAGCTATACTGGTTCACAACAGAAGATGTACTGCTGACACAATAACACCTCAATTGAAAATTGAAATTGAAAGTACACTGAAACTGTAAAGTATGGTTATATTTAGTCACAGAAACTTCACGGTTAAGTTTTGGCATGGTTAAGGTAAGGAAACACAATGCCAGACACAGTCTCTCTGCACGATAGTAAGGCTTTTGATTCATCCATCTACCCCAACCAACCACCTTCTTGTGTGTTTAACATTATAGAGTTCTAAACTGTATGCCTTCAATGGACACTACACATTGGTTTCTGTCTCCACAGTTGGTAGCTGTATGTGCCATTTCCCTGTTTGACAAGTGCAAACACCACAAAGAAGGACACTTGGCAGCAATACAACAAACACTGCCATGTCACAATTGTACAGCCATTATTGTGACACTACTACACTATGGACCAACGTAGCTACTGTTCATTTTGCTGTGAGACCGAGCTGCCCCCAGTCATGTCAGATGACTTCAGTACCCCCTGCTACAACACGTCATGTCACAAATGTGTTCATTTGATTTTAAACGAAATGTTATTGAATACAATTGTTTGTATAAAAGCGAATACAGTATTATTGCCATCATATTTGTACAGTGGAACTGCCGGTTTTTAAGTTAAATATTTAAAAGGCTGGATGTTTCAACCATTTTTCCAACCTTTTAGCAATTTCAACTTCTCTATTAGGTTGCTAACTAAAATCACATGAGATGGTCAGGTTTTACATCTGATTCACTATACAAAGAGGTAACAAATTAAGGGGAAAAACTGCATAAACAAGTAAGGTGCCTGTTGGCCGAGCTTCAATACACCTTGGCAGTGAGTCTACAAGACTTTGGAGCTCTACTGAAGGGATAAACTCCCTTCTTCCAAAATCTCCAGTATGTGTTTAGTTGGTTTGACATGTGGTGACTGTGAAGGCCATAGCATATGATTCACATCATTTTCATACTTGACTGCTTGTGCCCTATGAATGGGGGTACTGTCATCCTGGAAGAGAGCATTCATTTATTCAGGTTTTTACTCTGTCACCCATCTGTGCGACCCATCTATGTACCAATGCCGTATTTATATTTTCAGGTGTGGTGAAGAGAGACAAAGACAATGAAAGACAAAGGCAGGGAAATTGAATATCACTATACTATCGCTCCTTCTGTTCAATATTAAACTTATCTAAGCCGATAGACATACATTAAGTCAAACAGGACCTTCACACTGCAGCCAGAAAATGAATTGCCTTCCTCCTTTCATTAGCCACTTTATCTAACTTCCATTCTTCTATTTATCTATCTGGGAGAGTATTCATGTGTCACTTTCTGTTATCCTTGGGGACGAGCGTGGAGACAATGGTTCCACTGCAGCATTTCCTCTCGTTCTGTCTCTGCTCAGCAAAACATGACGGAACAAATGAACCAATTAAGTGTGCTGGTGGCTGTGCTGTCCCAGGGGGCCATCTAAGGAACTGAGACGGCCTGATTAACTCAAAGGTAGGCCTGACTGGAGACAGCCAGCAAGGACAACTGGAGTGAGAAAAGCTCCCATAACGTAAACACACACCACTTGTCAGTGCACCTGTGTGTATTGTCTTCTTTGCCTTCGGCATTCTGATTGGTGTTGACTGGTGTCAAAGCTGTTGCAAAGTTGGGGTTTTTATAGAGCAAGAAGCACACACAAACATGTTTGTGTCAGATTAGCACTGGGAGCAGATTTGACAAATGTGCTGTGGGTGGTAACTGCATTTTACTGTCAGTAACATACCCTCAAAAGTGGGCTTACATGATACACCAACAAATCACCTCCAAGAGTGACATCTCCAGGTGGCGAGTCCAGGAATGTTTAAGCTACTGTAACTTTATTTCCATTGATCCCAAGTGCTTCAGGAACACCTAGATGGGTTCCACTTGACTGTAAACAAGAATGATCAGTTAATACCTGGAGTATTGATCTCACTTGAACCTCTAATATTGAATCTCTTTGTGGATGCTGTTCAATCTTTCTGTTATCATCCTCTCACAGATTTGGAACTCGTTCCCCAGGACTGAGGGAAATAAAATACCAGTTGACATTTATTTGTCATTCAGTACATTTTCCTGCCGATGTTAGACTCATTCTGCACATTTTCTATAAACAATTTGGGATTCACAGAAAATATGCTTTTTGGAAATGCTTACATTGCACCCACACTGGTGAGTTGGTGGGTTTTTGATTTAAAAAGATCACCCTCATCCCATACAAGTCAGTTTGAACTGCATTTCAGCTGAACTACACACTGTGATGAAAGGATTCATCCTCTGACCTTTGATACACAACATGCTGAATAGGTGACCTCTGTTGTTCAGTTCAGGGTTTTTTTTTTCATTAAATCCCAGACTCACTCCAGTATTGCTCCCGCCACCTTTCCTTTCCTAATGTGCTTATTTTCTGACATTATGACATCCCCTCTCTTCTTCCTGTCTTTGCAATTCTGACAAAATTTGCAGTTTACAGATCCAGGGGAATAAGTGAACATTCAAAACCTCTTCATCCCCGGAGTAATTTTGAGGCACCTTGTCCCCCATGGTCAATTTGTCACCATGTAGAATGCCAGGAGGCGTCCTTGGGGCTGACCACTGGTCATTGGTCTCCCTGACACTTGGAGATAGAAAAGAAGGAAATAGAGATAGACAGAGTGAGAGAAAGAGAAGAGCAGAGTGAACCTGACAAAGGCCCTGAAACAGATCTGTCCCACTCAGCAGAGCCAAGGGAGTGTGCACCCAGGCTGTCAGCACCTCTCATTAGTCAAAAGCAGCCTTCCTGACAATGTGACACTGATTACTGAAAGCCCTGATTCAGACTTTCTCTCCTTCTCTGTGTAGCAGCAAACAGCAGCAGCTAAAGCTTCATGCACATGTTCACTCACACACACACACACACACACTACTTCAGTCCACTTTCTTTTCATCCCAAAATGCTTGAAGTGCATTTCATTTCATTTAAAAATTCTCCTCCCATCTCCAAAGAGACCAAAGCTTTCATTAAAAAGAGCAATAAAGGGCAAACGGGTGTCTTCTGACTCTATTTAAAATCTATTTATTGATTTTTACAGGGTGTAAATAAATATTAAATGGCATTATTGTGCACAAAGGCTTTCACACTGGCAGGAGTGGTGGAATTAGAGGAGGTGAAGAGTGGCGTTCATTAAGAGTTTATCATTTTTATTGATCCGGCTGACATGTCTTAGCAGTTAGGAGGATCTGATTGCTTTTACTTAATCACTGCAGTTGAAGGCAGGACTGAAAGAAAGTATCAGAAGTGCAGAGTGAAATAGGAATTGTCTTCAAATACTAAATACAACAGTGTGAGTGTCACCGCTCTCAGTGAAGAACCAAGCTTCCCACACTACTGTTCTCCAATCAGTGAGATCTTAGCTTCTAAACATAAATGCCCCATTTCACTACCAAACAATGTGTTATACTTGGTACTGGGCTGATTTACCTATAGAACAATTGA